GCTCTCTCCTTTTTCTTTTTGTTGGGAAACTGGGTCTTTGACCCAGGATGTCTCTCTCATCAGGCAGTTCTTGGGTAACACTGACATCTTCTTCTGTGCCCTGTGTCCCTAGTAATTGGTCATTGGTTCTAGAGCAGTGGTTTTCAACTTTCTTAAGGCTGCGACCCTTTAGTACAGTTCCTCATGTCGTGGTGACCCCCAACCACAAAACTATTTCGTTGCTACTTCACAACTGTAATTTTGCTACTGCTATGAATCCTAAATATCTGATATGCAGGATATCTGATATACAACCCCCAAAGGGGTCATGACCCACAGGTTGAGAACCACTGCTGTAGAGGCTTCCCTTCAGGTTATTATTGTTTTCAGTACTCTTCCGTGTGTACTATTATTTGATTGCCTCACTCTTGCAAGGAGTCAAACCCGTAGAAGTACCTAACTCTACGAATGTGAGGGAAACTGTGAAAATGGGCTGGGGCAGGCTCTCGATCTTCTTGGTCCAAGATATAATTGTAAGCTAGGGCTCAGTAAAGAAACCACCAAAATGGCTACTCCGTGGTTAAGGGGAAGGTTTTATTGTAGGTAAAAGAGAGACAAAACATTCGGAGGCATCTGGAAGAGTCCAGAGCAGAGAGAAAAGGAAGCATCCTGGATATAACCAGGCTGTCTGTGAATGGCATGTGTTGATGGGACACGCACACACACACACACACACACACACACACACACACACACACACACACACGAACGAACGACGGGGAAAACCTTGCTGTTACACAGAGCAGGTCTCCAGGAGTCAGGCAGCCTATGAACTCCCACAGTGTGGGAGCTAACAACCACGGGTAACCGGCTGGCAGTGGCCCTTTCTGACAGGCAGAAACCCATTTCAGGGGTTCCTGAGAAATGCTGGCTGTAGGCTTTTAGCAGTCCTGTAGTCCAGCTTGAGCTGAGCTGAGACTCATTTTTGGCCATATGCTCTACTTTTTGGAGTTTGGCGAGTAGGGGCTTCCTTTGGGCCTGACAATATAAAGGTTCCTTTTCTTTCCCAGGAGGCTGAGAAGATGTTGGACATAGGGGGTGATAAGTTCCCCCTTGAAAGCAGGAAGTTGCTAAATAGTCCTGGCAAGAGCATCAGCTTCAGGTAAGCCCCCAAATACCACAGAGCTCGCTGCCGGATTCCTGCTGCCGTGCTGAGGCTGCTCTGAGAAGCTGCCATGCCACCGGCCATTCCACTGAACACCTGCTGCGCTCCCGGCCTCATAGGGTTGGGAGTCACAGGAAGAGAGGCGGGAGCCAGTGTCCCAATGCCTTCTCCTGTCAGGGTGGGCAGGGGGCTGTACAGCGGTCCTCAGAGGCTCATTAGCTACTTTGTACGAGTGAGGGAGCTGATGAGACGTTGTTCCAGGGTTACAGTGCTGCTCACAAGGTCAGGATTTAGACGGCACCTCTCTGCCGCTTCCCCAAGGTCAGTAGTGTGTCCTCAGCCTGGTGGGTGTGTTGTGCCTGCCTTTGGGGACAGGCAGAGACAGTCACTGCAGTGTGGGTTATAGCATTTTTAGTCCAGGGAGCCAGGGGGACACTGATCTCAAAGCCCAGGCGAGGCTTGCGCTGGCGTCTCAGCCCCTTTCTCTACCAAGCTCTTTGTTCTCCACAAGGCACAGGGCACCAAATGCCCGGAATGTGGGTTCACGCCTGACATCTGGGTCTGTTTGGAAGCAGCAGACCCAGGCTGAAGAAGCCTGGAGATAAGGACAGCTAGAGAAGGAAGAAAGACTGGTGTGCCACATCCGGATCCCAGGGAATCATTAGCTGCTAAATGATTAGACTGAATGTGGTTTATACTGCGGATAGATCAGGAATCTTTTCTTGGGTCCCTCAGAAGGTGTCTCTGTGCTGTTATGGAAGAGACCATAGGCTTTGATGTCTCTGGCAGCGAAGCAGGATCAGTGCTCCTTTCCCTGTGGGATGCTGTCTCTTCTCTGTGCGTTTCAGATCAACCCCCATGGATGGCTCTAGAGTGGTCGGGTTTCCAAGGACCCAGGACTGTGTTTAATGTCTTGATTCTGTGCTGTAGTTTAACTTTGGATGGGCACTTAGCCCTGAAACCTTCGGGTTTTACACCTTCAAAATGAGGATTGTGATTGATCTCTGTTGCTATGATTGTTAAGTTCATAGAGTATGAAAGTCTTTTGTAAACTATAAACGGAAGAGATTCTGTTATGTAAATGAGGATGAACCAGAGTGCCACACAGCAGCAGTTAGGGAGTGATGGCTCCTGGCTTCAGTGTCACGTCCTCTGTGAATTCTTTTAAAGCACCAGCCACCACCTGGGCATCAGCGGCCTGCAGCCCTACACATAGCCTCTTTTTATGCCCTGGCCTCTCAGACTCATCCTCAGGCCACTCTCCCTTCTCACGGGGTGGTGGTCACGGTAAACTGGGGTGTGTCCTTTACTTACATATTCGATATTCACTGCCTAAGCTTTGATTTCAGATGTGACCCCTCTGAGATTAATATATCAGATGAAATGCCTAAAACCACGGTCTGGAAGGCTCTCAGTATAAATTCTGGAAATACAAAGGAAAAAAGGTAAAGAGAATTCTAACTTCCCATTTTTATTTACTTCTGGCTTTTGGAATGGCAATAATGTTAAAGGTAAGATGTACATTACTTACAGGATTGAATTTGCCTAGTAAATAACAAAACTCTTTCTGCTAACTGTACAGTAAGACAAATAAAAATAAAAAGTTTCCAAATATTTGAAAAGGCAGGTTGTTCTGAACTGCCCATTTACTTCGGTCCCAAGGGCAGACTGTAATTATTTTGGAATCTAAATTTGCTTTATCTGCTTAGTTTCTTTAATCTACTTGGAGAAAGTTTCTCATTTCAGAATCTGAAGGTTGTCTCTGGTTACTGCAACCACACAAACCGGAAAATTGCTAAAAGTCTGGATCAATACCATTAACACTAATAAATAATATGATAGTATTGGCTCAGACTTTAACCCACTTAACTTAGGTTCTGAAATGAGAATTTTGCTAAACATAACAGTTTTCTTATTCTGCAAAGAAATTTCTCTGTATCATTTAATAGTAACATAGATCAGTTTTAATCAGAAAGGATTAGAGGCGTCTTTGCCTGCATTAAGGAATGCTATGTATATAAGTTACGATTTTAGCCCAAACACCACTGACATTTAAGTCCTCAGAAAAATGAAGGCAAAAATTCGAGGTCTTGATATGGATAACAGGTTTTGTTAAAACATACAAGCCAGGAACTGGGAAAACTGGTCCTGCTCCTACTTCCGGGCGTAACTTGGCATTTTGCCACTTGTGGCATTTGGCTCAGTGGTAGAATGTGGGTGCTAAGCAGCAACCAAAGTCTTCTCAGAGTCACGGCTAACGGCATGTGGGTCCCCCATTCCATCCATGAGTGGGTTAAATAGATCTGTGCTGAATGCAGGTGAGACACAGAATTTGGCTTCTCTCAGAGGAAAATCCAGGCAGCTGTGGAAATGTATAACACATGTGGTTATTTTTAGTTGAGAACTAGTCTACTTGTAAATGAACTTAAGATACAGCCAAGTTGTGGCGTCTTCAGAGTACCGTGTTGAGAGCAGGCGCGAGTCCTGTGCCCCTTTGTCTGACTGTAACTTTGTCATCCAGCCTCTTCAATTGAGAGCCTCTGCTGGGGTAGAAGATTTGGGCCATGAGGTGCCTCAGAGAAGTTCTGGTTTTCGAGAAAATGGTGAGTCTCTCAGAAAAAAGCCGGGCTGAGTCTGGCCCCGTCCTTGGTCATCTCAAAGCCATGCCACATGGAAGCATTCAGTCACTCTCGGTGTGCGTTTTGGAGGATACCCAGCTCCCCTCATACCAGCAGCCAGGCACCAGCGGGGCCACCGTCAGGCTGACTTCCTGCTGCCTCCTCTCCTCTTTCTTCCTTCTCTTCAGAACCGCCACCATTAAAGAGCCAGCTTCCCATTTTCAGACATTTTCTCCAGTGCTCTCTGCTGGCCTAGTGAGCCACATGAGTCCTTTCTGTCATTGAGGATTCCTTCTTGAGGTCCCTCTTCATGAATGGTGGCTTGGGGTGGTAGCAGAGAAGCCGGAGAGGGGAGGCTCCTGGGCCTGCTGCCAGCTTCAGGCTCCTGAGAAGCCTGGGCCTCGGTTCCATTTCTACTTGGGAAGGGGTGCTGGTCAGACCAGACACTGTAGCAGGTCTGCTGTCTGAGGTCGGCCGTCCGAGCATCAACAATGGCCACCACCAGAGCTGGCAAGATGCTGCTGGCCTGGGGTCATCCATATCACTCCCCAGAAGCAGTCAGCACACGGCGATGAGACCCTTGGAAGAAGCAGGGCCAAGTGTGAGGGCGAGAGCTCAGCTGATTAAAGGAAAGGCCTCGGGGACACCAGCAAAGTAGGAGGATGAACATCTTTCCTTGGGTTTCCTTGAGGAAGAAGGAGCCTGCTAGCCGAGGAATTAATGTAGAGACCAGGGAAGACTCCCTTGCCTGGGGATTTGTTACCAGGTCTGTTTGTAGCCTTCTAGGAAAGATCTGATACCAGTTGTTTGTGGGTAGAAAGGTGAATCTGGGGTTGTTGGCTGTTTTGTGGGACTGTTTGACATTCTGCTGCTGTCTCATGAGGCTACTTTGCTCCTTCACCCTGGAGAGACCCAAGTGCTCATGGACATCTCCTTAGCTGCCTTGGTAGCAAACTCCATCATCATCACTCAGTGGATCAAAACCGCCTTCAGCCATGTGGCTTCCTCACCACAGATTCCTTTTGGTTGACAGAAGTTCTGGCTCTCCGATGTAAAAAGCCATGCTAAGAAATGAACTGTAAGTGGTGAAGTCAATTTGGACACTTAGTTTAAAAGTGTATGTATGATTTTTCTCTCCTGTGTTCTAAAACTGTCATAAGGGTTTGGGCCTCAGCGCTGTGGACTCCTCCTTCCTCTGTGCACAGAAGTGACTGGCAAGCTGGTCACGCTGGCTGTCCACCTGCATCGTTGTACAGAAGACACCACACACACACACACACACACACACACACACACACACACACACACAGTGAGTGCGTGCTGTCATTCCTGGGTGAAGAAGCGCTGCATCATTTTATTGCAGTTTGCGCCTTGGACTCTGCACGTACTCTGAGGCATCTGGTCATTCTCTGCAGGCCTTTGGTGTTGAAGGGAACCTGCGTTATCACTACTTCCCTGCCTGTTAGGACCACTGCCATTTTGATGCAGAGATGATTTTCAAGATATTTAACAATTGGTACAGGACAGACGCAAGCCACGCAGAGCAGATATCCTTTGTAAAATAGTAGCAGGCATTGCTGTTCAGTGCCTGGTGGATGAATGAATGCCTTGCTGCTCTCAAATCCTAAAATGACATCCTCTGCAATATAGGTGTTGTTCCTGGTTTGTCTGATCTCTGCACATGAGAGATCTCTGTTGTGTCTCAGCAGCAGCCCTGGCTTGCTCTCAGGGACTACACACTGGAACAGGCAGGTGTCACAGAAATCAGTGGGCTTTATAGTCTCTGTGAGCCAAATTCCAGAGCGCATCACTTCAGGACATATCTAACAGTTGTACCCCTTACCCAGCTCAGAGTGATTCAGAAGCAGCCTGTCAGTGGGAAAACTTTCTTGATAACTTTCCACCCCCTCTGGCTACTTCCTTGAACTTGCGTCTTTTCCATCGCTTTAGTCCCCTGGGAACACCACCATCATTTTCCTCCTGTGTTCCCATGCAACCGCGTGTGTAGGGAATTGGTGACTACTTCACCCACTGCTCTGGCCTCGGTGCGCCTGAGAGGCGTGTAACAGTGAGGAGCCCATCGTTCAAGGAAGCCGGTGACAGAGTCCCCAGGGAAATACCTCTTTCCAAGCACTGATTCTTGAGTTGCCCTCTACATGTTTAGCTGCTGGAGGGTGGGGGCTGCCTTTGTTAGCTCTGAGCAGTGCAGCTATGGGACCTCTGATTTTTTTTTTCTCATGCCAACATTTGCTGGGACCAGAGAAGTGACCACCTCTTCTATGACAAGGGTAGCTTCTTGAGTGTTGCCAGCCAATGTCCTGACATCCTGGTGATGTCAGCTGGTGATGTGAACAGAGTGAGTGGGGGGAGGCTGAGGTTCAAGAACATGTTGGTAGTGAAGCCTTGACTCTAAAGGAAAAGATGTGGGGTTCCTAAGTGGCCAGGTGCATGTCCTCCTGATGACTGTCTGGGAAGGGTTGCTCTAGGGAGAGGGTGAAGACCTGAAGAGATAACTGTGAAGTTGCCTGTTGTATCTGGTTGTGTAATACACATGCAGCTTGGGAGGGGTCAGGAGGCTCTGGGCTTTGCCACACACAGCCCCATCCCAGGTCTCCTTAATTCATGAAACTTGCCTTCATGGTGGAGGGAAAGTGAGCCATATCTTCCCAAAGACAATGTGAATAGTTGTAATTTCTCTTTGTTGGTGATGGAAGAGACTTTTAAATTACTTATAAATGTTGAATAAAGATCTGGCGTTGACTAAGTCCCTGACTTGCCCTCAGGCTGGAGTGCTGATGGCTGCAGCCTTCCAGTCTCCCCTCTGGAGAGTCTGTGGTTTACGATCATCCAAAAAAGGACAGTTCATTCCACTTTCTCCTCCACCTGCTCAGCTCTCCAGACTCCCTTCCTAGTCAGGGGAGCGGTGATTGTCCATGTGTCTTCTCTAGTGATCCTGAAGCACAGGGCTAGCTAGGGTCTAGGCCCCTGGGTTTCCTTTAGTCTTTAATGAGCATCAGAGACATCATGTCACACGTGTCCCCTAAGACTTTACAGTGTCTCTGAAGGTCTTTTGCAAGAGTGACAGCACCTCCTAGGAATTTTGATTTTACTTTAACTGTGTATGTGAGGGTGTTTGCCTCCATGTATGTCTTTGTACCATGTGTGTGCCTGGTGCTGAAGAGAGCAGAGAGGACATCAGATCTCCTACAATCGAATTTGTAGACAGTTGTGAACTGCCATGTAGGTGCTGGGAATTGAACCTGGGTCCTTCTCTTAACTGTTGAACCATGTCCTCAGCTCCTAGGCTCTTAAACTGTGGGGTCGAGCCAGTTTGTCCCTCTTCTCTCTCATACTCTCCTTCAAGTTCCCAAGCCCCATCCTTGTTGGACATTCACAGGCCCTGCACTGAGTGTTCTCCGCCATCTTGACTTTCTCTTGGTGGAAATCTTTTAGCCGGCCCTGGCTGGTCAGGTGAGACTTTACCCACGCTATTGCCTGTTCTGCCTCAGCTTTCCAAGAACTCTCTCTCCTTCAGCCCTTCTGGCCATTGTTCAAGTTCCCTCTGAGGAAAGAGTCATAATCAGAGCTCCTGACAGCGCCACCAGTTGAGGTGGTGAGGGCTTCGAGTTCAGGGGCTGCTGACACCTCTCGGGCCTGGATGGTTATGTTCTGGCCTAGATGGTTATATTCGGGCCTGGATGGTTATGTTCTGGCCTGGATGGTTATGTTCGGGACTGGATGGTTATGTTCGGGACTGGATGGTTATGTTCTGGACTGGATGGTTATGTTCGGGCCTCGATGGTTATGTTTGGGACTAGATGGTTATGCCCTGGCCTGGATGGTTATGTTCTGGACTGGATGGTTATGTTCTGGCCTGAATGGTTATGTTCTGGACTGGATGGTTATGTTCGGGACTGGATGGTTATGTTCGGGACTGGATGGTTATGTTCGGGACTGGATGGTTATGTTCTGGACTGGATGGTTATGTTCGGGACTGGATGGTTATGCTCTGACATGACATGTTGGGGAGGGACTAAGCATTTTTAAGCTCCCATGTTCGTCTGTATTGTTCTACATTCATTGTAACAGAAAAACATTTGAAATTCAAACAGAAGCAACTTTTCTGCTTTGACTATTTTTAAGTGACTCTTGGTGCCCCCCTCCGACACTCTTGCTCTGTGAGATAGGGTCTCACTGCGTAGACCAAGCTAGTCTTGAGCCTACAGCCGATCTCCTGCCCCCCAAGTGCTGGGGTTCCAAGCATGTGCCACCATACTTGGCTTGCTCTTGGTCTCTCTTAGCATTAATTATAGAGAATGGATGGCTGACTCAGTTACATTTTTTTCTTCAGTTACCTTTTTTGTGGCCAGAAAGGAGGATAATTTTCATAAGCAAAGGAGGTGTGAAGTAACTATAGCTGTTTGGAGTGTGTGAGAGGAATGGAGTCTTTTCCATAGCCCTCAGAAGTGAGTCATCCATCCATAGGCATGATCCTTTGAGGAGATTCTGTGCTCAATAGGAATGGAATGGTTTCGGGTCCTTCTGAAGAGAAAAGGAAGAGCACCCTCCCCCAAATCTAACCCACTTCCAGCACTAGCAAATACAGAGTGTTTTCCCTAGCTGATGTTTTCTGAGCAAGAGGGAGAACACAGCCTCCTACCCTCCCACAACCCCTTTCTAAGCCCGGGAGCAACTGGCTGGCTTGGGCATTGCTTCACAGGCTCATGGGTGACTTCTGCAGCAGGTTTTTACTTGTGTTGGGACCAGAAGCACTAACCTGAACGTGCAATCACGCCTTTTGTGAGAGAAGCCAAAATCCTTCCTGTCCTCCCCACTCCTCAGAGATGCCAAGCCTCTTCCTGTCTCTTGTCTGTCATTGGTTAGAAGTGGCTGATGGTGTCTGGTGGAAAGCAGGGCAACCTTCCCACGGAAGGGGCAGCTTGAGGTGCTGGTACATTTCCTCATTTTCTGTGTGCTTCTCTCTAGGTCTCATGTAGAGGCAGATATTTTTGTTTTAGAGATTCCAAAGTCTATATTTTTAGTGTAAGAAGTGTACCCTCTCCACACTCCACGGCGTAAATAGAACTGGGAATAAAATGTGTCATTGTGATTATCCCATAGCAATATGTGCTAAAAACAAGACCCCCTTCTGGTCTGTCTGTGACCAGGGCAGGTAACTGTGACAGTGTATCTCCAGCCCCCTGCCTGCCCACTCTCATGTGTGGTCACCTCTTTGGGTGACAAATAAAGTCTGTATAAACTGTTTGCTTCTGTGCTGTTTTTGGGCGTTGTGTGGAGAAGATTCCTGAAGACGGCGGACAGGTATGTGTGGGGGGTGTTTATCTGCTAAGAATACTGCAGAGGGCCTTGTAGCTCCTGTGTCCAGTCCTCCCTGGTGCAGTTCTGAGCAGAGCCCCTAGGCTGAACCATGGCACGGGCTACTGGGGCCTCTCTCTTAGGATCAGCAGGAAAGGAAAAGGGGTGTTTTGAAGACACCCCTGGGCTATGGAGACCAATATCTAAACACTATCCAGTGCTTCAAAATACAGATTTTAGAATCTGGCTGTTAAAGGTTGGTTCTGGGAGAGTGGGGGGCACTTGATTACTTTAACTCTCAAACTTCAGTTCAAGGGTTAGGGACAAGGGAAAGATGGACAGGATGGAGTAGAAACAGAGCTAGGTGGGGGGGAGGGGAATGTGGGGAGCCAGGCAGGATGCCCGACTAGATGACAAGAAAAGCATCCCGGGGAGCATCCAGTGTGGACGTTCACAGAGGTGAGAGTCAGCCATGCTGGACCTGCAGTCTGTAGGCCTGGGACTCACCTGCTCCCAGACTTCAGCTGCCTTTGGCTGTTTGTTCAACCCCTCCTGTGTGCACACACCCTCTGCCTATTTCCCAGAGGTGTGCCACAGTGAGGTGCCAGTACTGGGGAAGCTGCTCCTGTGGGACACAGGCAGCTCCGACACCTCGAGCTCCAGAGGGCATCGTCATCCCACACCCAGGGTTAAGGAGTCCATTAGCTGATAAGTCAGGTGTCCTTAGGAAGCACCTGGCTCATAGCAGCGGAAAGAGCCGTGATAAACACAAAGGTCGAGGGTTCCTAGGCTAATTCAGCAGCGACTGCATCAGGGTGCTGGTCAGTTTCTTCGCTGCGTCTTCCTTTGCTAGCCTCCGGGTTACAAGATGGCTCCTGAAACTCTAGTAGGAGTTACATTGGCCAAGTTCACTGCCACATGCAGGATAGGTGGTATTCCAGTCTCTCTCCCCCTCTCTCCCCCTCTCCATCTCTCATTCATTAAATCGTGGGGAGGATCCCAGAAGCAGCCAACACAGCATTGGCCAGAGCTGGATCACACACCTGTCTCTTAAGGTGGGAAACAAGGATGCGCTTTGGGGTCAGCGCTCACTTCCCTGGTCACGTTCTGTCCTAACCCTGTACAAGATTCCATAGCAAAGAATAAGCTGGTAGGAGCCTCTGGCATAGCCGGACCTCGCTGAAGAGAACAGCAGGAGCTCTCAGCACCAAGGTCAGCTCCTCCACCCTGAGGGGATTTCCAGTATCCACACGCTGCTCCACATGAAATAAACAGAAGCTGGGGAGCACAGGCACCAGAACTCCCTAGGTGGCCCCACTCTGCAGCCAGGCTGAGCGTCAGCTGCTAGAGCACCTCACCTTTGCTCACTGTGGCTCGGTGCTGCCAGGCTTCACCTCCAGCTAGCTTGGTGCTTGTTCCCACCCAGTTCTAGAATGTTCCCCAGCATTTGAGCTCTTGCCCAGCCTTACCACCTCCAGATGCTCCCAGCTCTATTGTCTCTGCATTTACAAAATGATTCCCAAGCCTGACAAAGCTCTGGGTCCCTACTTGTCATTTTTTATTAGCCACAGTGTAGGGCCCTGACAGCTCGGGCAGTGGGAGAAAGGTGTGGGTAAAGCAGGTGTGGGTTGTTGAAAGTTGGATCAGTGGCTGTGGAGCCTACATGGGACTGGACTAGGCCCTCTGCATGGTGAGACAGTTGTGTAGCTTGATCTGCTTGAGGGACCCCCTGGCGGTAGGATCAGAATCCATCCCTGGTACACGAGCGGGCTTTTTGGAGCCCAGTGCCTATGGTGGGACACCTCGTGTGGCCTTGAGGCAGGGGAAGGGCTTGGACTTGCCTCTCCTGGATGTGCCTCCCCATGGGAGGCCTTGCCTTCTTGTGGGTGGGAGTGGGTTTGGGTTGGGAGGGGGAGGCTGGAGGGAGCAGGAGGAGGGGGATCTTTGATTGGTGTGTAAAATGAATGAAAAAATTTATTAATAAGACAAAACTGGTGAAAAAAAAAGAATAGGGTTGTGGGACTGGAGAGATGGCTCAGCAGTTAGGAGCACTGGCTGCTCTTCCTGGGGCCCACGTGGCAGCTCACAGCCATCTGTAACTCCAGTTCCAGGGGATCTGAAGCCCACCTCTGGCCTCCCCAGGCACCGGGCACACGCAGGCAGATGCTCACACACCTAAATAAAAAATCAAATTGAAACAAACCAACAAACGTGGCTGGGAATGACTGTGCTTGTCAGTTTTCCTCAGCAGGCAAGGGCCCAAGAGACACCTTAGTCGTGGCTAAAGGCTGTTCTTCAGGTTCCAGCTGGGACACAGCATTCCGTTTACAGTCGGCTGGGTTCAGTTGCATACAGGCACAAGCTTGCAGGACACTCCACTGCCCGCTTGTCCACCAAACATGCCACAGATGCTAACCCTCGCTTTCTAGTATTTCTGATGGAGGGAAGCACCTGCTGGGAGGCTGAAAATTGCTGCTGAGACCCCCAGAAGACACCTGGCCTGCAGCCATCTGTTCAGCAGCCAGCCTGCCTGAGGTCAAGCCCAACTGTGTTTCTACAGCCAATTGACCTTGGGCGGTTTACTCCAACTGTGCCTCAGTTTCTTCACCTGCAAAATGGGAAAGATAATTTACACAGCCAGCAGTAGAGGCAGAGGGAGGGGGGACAGCAGGCACACCCCCTCTAGTCTGTGCCCCCCAGCACACCCCCTCTAGTCTGTGCCCCCCAGCACACCCCCTCTAGTCTGTGTGCCCCCCAGCACACCCCCTCTAGTCTGTATGCCCCCCAGCACACCCCCTCTAGTCTCAGTACGCCCCCCAGCACACCCCCTCTAGTCTCAGTGTGCCCCCCAGAACACCCCCTCTAGTCTCAGTGTGCCCCCCAGCACACCCCCTCTAGTCTCAGTACGCCCCCCAGCACACCCCCTCTAGTCTCAGTGCGCCCCCCAGCACACCCCCTCTAGTCTCAGTGCGCCCCCCAGCACACCCCCTCTAGTCTCAGTGTGCCCCCAGCACACCCCCTCTAGTCTGTGTGCCCCCCAGCACACCCCCTCTAGTCTGTGCGCCCCCCAGCACACCCCCTCTAGTCTCAGTGTGCCCCCCAGCACACCCCCTCTAGTCAGTGTGCCCCCCAGCACACCCCCTCTAGTCTGTGTGCCCCCCAGCACACCCCCTCTAGTCTGTGTGCCCCCCAGCACACCCCCTCTAGTCTGTGTGCCCCCCAGCACACCCCCTCTAGTCTGTGTGCCCCCCAGCACACCCCCTCTAGTCTGTGTGCCCCCCAGCACACTCCCTCTAGTCTGTGTGCCCCATCTTCTTGCCCTGTGACACTGCAGCTGTGTGCTGGGTTGGCCTCCCTGCCCCAGAGTCTGTAACTGGTTTCTGAGCAGTTTGCATTATTCATAGGAAGAAAGCACCACATTCAGGGCTCTTGGGATACACATGCTCTCCAGCTTAGGGGTCTAGCTATCACCTGTGAGGTCATGGGACACTAGTTCCCAGGTTTGTCAACACTTTGCCTGGAGAGGAGAGGGCCATTGAGTAGGTTTCCCAAGCTCCTACAGGTTAGTGACCTCTGTTATTACCCTAATTCCAAACCCCACCCATCGGCTAAGGAATCCCAGTGGGCTGTCCTTATCTAATTTCCCTAACAGTCATGGTGGAAAAGACAGAAGTGCCCGGCTTGGCTGCTTTTCATGTAACCCTGAGTTGTGAGAGTCTAGCATTAGTTTGGGGTCTGTCTTAGTGTTCTGTTGCTGTGAAGAGACACCATGACCACGGCAACCCTTATAAAGGAAAGCATTTAATGGGGGCTGGTGTACAGTTTCAGCAGTTTAGTCCACTGCCATGGTGGGGAGCACGGCAGCACACAGGCAGACACAGTCATGGAAGATGTAGTTGAGAGTTCCACATCTGGATCCATAGGCAGCAGGAAGAGAGAGACACTGAGAGCCCACCCAGTAACACTTCCTCCAACAAGGCCACACCTCCTAACCCCTCCCAAGCAGTGCCATTCCCTGATGACTAAGCATCCCAAACATGACCCTAGGGAGCCATCATTCTTGCAAACCACCACAGGGTCACAAGGGCTTCCCTGCCTTGCTCCAGCAGTCCAATCATTGCTGTCCTCTTACTCAAAGGCCCACTGTGCAGTGCTGAAGCCCTCAACCTGAGAATCCCTGCAAGTGGTCAGTGTCTGTGTTCTGTGCTCCAGAGTCACTGATCCAGTGTGTGCAGTGTGTGCTGCAGTGAGGGCCAGTGTCTGCTGTTCCGTGTGCTTCAGAGTCACTCTGATCCAGTGTGTGCAGTGTGTGCTGCAGTGAGGGCCAGTGTCTGCTGTTCTGTGTGCTTCAGAGTCACTCTGATCCAGTGTGTGCAGTGTGTGCTGCAGTGAGGGCCAGTGTCTGCTGTTCTGTGTGCTTCAGAGTCACTCTGATCCAGTGTATGCAGTGTGTGCAGTGTGTGCTGCAGTGAGGGCCAGTGTCTGCTGTTCTGTGTGCTTCAGAGTCACTCTGATCCAGTGTATGCAGTGTGTGCAGTGTGTGCTGCAGTGAGGGCCAGTGTCTGCTGTTCTGTGTGCTTCAGAGTCACTCTGATCCAGTGTTTGCAGCTCATGCAGTGGGCGCTGCGGATGAGGAACGTGGTGCTCACTGTGATGCTCGCACAGCTGAGCAGCAGAGCCAAGGGTGGAGCCTGGTTTTTCTTCAGATCTGTGCTCTCAGCTTCCACTCTGCTGACTCCAGAGGGTTCCTGTCCTGTTTTTGTGGGGTTTTTGTTCATTTTCCAATTTGACACAGCTAAAGTTGTCTAGAAAGAGGAATTTAAGTTGAGAAAATGCCTCCATCAAATTCCCTGTAAGGCATTTTCTTTTTTAATCCTTTTTATATTAAAAACATCTTTTCATAAAATATATTTTGATCATGTTTTTCCTTCCCTCAACTTTCTCAGATC